CGCGCGGCATGGGGTTCGCACTAGCCGGCTTTTAAAAATGGCGGCGCCGGCTTTATGCTAATGAAGCCCGGGAAATTCAAATCCCAGGCTTCATTAGCAAGTTCGGTATGCATACATTACCCCGCTAGTTCGAACTAGCGGGGTAGTGTAGACATACCCTTAGATATTCACGCACAGCTCCCACTGACTCCAATTGCAGATGTGAATGTTCAGCACTTTTGCCAATCAGGTTTTGTCTACACTTACAAGTGGAAAGCACAGCTCAGATGACTCGGTAGCATGCAGGAGGTACACCATGCACCTGCCAAAATCTTAATTGCTAAAATGGAGTGCCTCCTTGTGTCCCTTCCCTGTTCCTCAGGCTAGGTTGTCCTCTCTACACCAGATGCCAGCACTTTAACACTGCAACGTGGCCACAGGAGGAGCGCAGGGAGAGGACTCCCAGCACTCCAGGAAAACCACCTCCACAAGACCTGGTTTACATTGGCACTTCACAGCACTGTAACTTGTTGCACTCTGATGATTCACACCCGAGCCAGAACATTGTAGGACCGTAAACTGGCAGTGTACGGCAGTATACACTTGCCTCAAGCCTCAGGTTCTCACTCAAGTCATGCACCCAAAAAAAGGAACACACTGTTGTGACCACCTATGGAAAGTCTGGCTTTAGAGACTTGTGTAACTACTTAAGAGACTAGGTGGGTGAGGTAATAACTGTTGAGGAGAGAGGAGCTTTTGAGCTCCACAGAGCTCTTCTTCAGGTCTGGGAAAGGAACTCCCAGTGTCACAGTAAGACACAAATAGAACAGATTGTTTAGAGCTGTGTTTCTTAAACTTTTTAAGACCGAGGAACACCAAACAATTTTTTTTATGAGGAACACAAAGTTTTTGGTTGAGCAAACAAAAACAAAAACAAAACAAAACACACCACACACACACACACACACACCCACACACACACACACACACACACACACACACACACACAAACCCCTTGAACACCAGACAACACTTTTATTGACAACGACAATATTCGCTCACGGACCAGTGATAATTTAAGTATCTTTTTAATTATCTTTTGAAAGGTGGAACATCTGTTTTTAATCTAAGTATCCCAAACATAACCTGTCAATCGCTATCCATTAAATGAAAAAAAAGTTGTCCAACAACGAAGGAACATTGTATCTGGTCCCCATCAGCAGTCCTGGGTAACAAGTGAGGGCTAAAGGCAGCAGTGCAAAGACCCGGTTGGGTTGGCGGCTGTAGGGCAGCTCTCACCCCTGACAGGCAGGATCCCCAGATCAGCAGCAGAGACAGCCAATCAGAGCTGGCCCTGCAACGCTCCTCCCCTCTGGCAATGGGCACAACCGAGGGGCGGAGCTTTCCCAGGTGATTGCAAGCCGGGCACAGAAGCATGGAGGAACGTGGGTAGCCCCGCCTCATTTCCAGCCACGTCTCCGTTGCATCACTACTCACTCACCCCGTCCATCCTTCGCTCCACCCAGTGTCTCAGCGGCTCTAGCAATTTTTCCTCAAACGGTCGCAGCACACCTGAGAGTTCTCCGTGGAACACCAGTGTTCCGAGGAACACAGTTTAAGAAACAAGGGTTTAGAGTAAGTGGTTAGCACGGGGTGGACAATAATTTTTGATGAGGGGGGCCCTACTCCAAGATTTTGGAAAGTGGTTGAGGGCCACACTCTACCATGACATTAATGGAAGAAGGGTGGGGTCTGGGGTGCAGGAGTTTGGGTTATAACCTAAGGGTTGAGGAGATTGTGATCTGAGGCAGGAGACTGGGATGCCAGATCTTGCAGAGGAGATGGGTACAGAAGGGGGTGGGGAAGAGAGTTGGGGAAAGGAGGGGTGGGGCACCAGATTGTTGTTGTAATAAACCATAAACCAATGTCTCTGTTCTGCTCATGAGCTTTAAGCCAACTCTGCACAGGCACATTACAGTGCTGTAACTTTCTGGCTTAGGGTGTGAAAAAACACCCTCCTCTATCCCCTGCACATCAAGTTACAGCCCTGTAAAGTGCAAGTGTGAACCAAGTGACAGCACAGAACTGTGACCTCCAACGCCGTTAACTACCCCCCTTGTGGAGGTGTTTACATAGCCCCAGTGCTCGTGTAGTGGCCACACTTTCAGTTGAAAGCTCTGCCACAGCTGCGCTTCAAACTGAAGTGTAGACAAAGCCTTAGTGTCACAGAATAATGAATCTAAGCTTCCAGGCTCACCTTCTGAAAGAGTTGTGCAAGTTTCCTTTGAGGGTGTGAACTGACTGATCACTCAAGAGCTGACCTATTTGTAAAGAGAGTTCACCCACAGGCCATCATTTTTCTATGGGAATCTTTGCCCAGCTAGTTCCAATTCTCCCCTTCTGGCTCCTGGTCTGGTCTGCCTCTCCAGCCAACCACCATTGTTCTCACCCCCTCCTCTTGTCCAGATTCCTCACTCCCTGTCTCCTTGTCTACCAGGCCCACTCTCCCTTCCTCCCTCTGCTTCTCATCCAACCTCAGTGGCCAAGACCTCCCCTCACCAACCTGGCAATTGGCTTCCAATTCACTTCCCCCTTTACCCTCACTGGTTCACAATCTCCCCCTGGCTCCTAGCTGTCCTCCCAACCAGCCCCAGTCTCTCCTCCTTCCCCCTACAGCTCCTAGTCTCAGCCTCCTCCCCCCTTCTAATCCCAGATTCCCTGCCCAACCAGTCTCAGCATTCCCCTCTCACCTTAGCTACCCATCTCCTTGCCTGGCCAGCAACACTCTCCCCCATCATGCTCAATCAGTTTCCCTCCCTGCTCCAGTCCTAATCCCAGACTCTTCCCAATCTACTCTTCTAGCCTAAAAGTTGAGTGATATTCAAAGGCAGCAAAAACTGAACCTGGGGGAAGGATGCAGAAGGACCATCAAGATCATTTAGTGTGACCTCCTACACATTGTAGGCCGCAGAACCCCTCCGTGTGGAAACCGAGGCAAAGAAGTTTTGACTGACCCTTGACCATACAGGGGGGGAAGAGACATAGCCGGGATTAGAATTTAGGATGCCCGAATCTCAGTCTTAGGTTTCCTCCACTGGGCCATGATACTTCTAATCTGTTACTTTAGCGTTTAAAGTTCTTGCAGTGTATTAACAACCATCACCACAGAAGCCCTACAAGACACAGAGGAGAGAGGAAGATGGGGTTGGACATCTTTGGTTCAAATACAGAGCCGGGGGCAGCCCTGAAGAGAGACATTGACTCCACACAGAAGTATGCCAATAGGGTAGATTTTCATAGGGATGGCAAAAAGCTGTGTTTATTTCTGATGGAGGCCACTCCCCTGACAAATTCCAAACTGCTAATCCAAAACATGGGGGAACTAACAGAGCTTCTCAGTGAAACGGCAGTAAGATTTTTTTTTCTTTAATAGGGGCAAAACAAAGTATTTCCCCCATCTTGTTCTCAAAAACAGAGGATTTCTTTTATCTTTTTTTTTTTTAAAGGAGTCCTGCAGCATTCACTCAGCATCAGAAATTTCAGCTCCAATAGCTACAGTTCAGCCAAGTTATATAAGCAACT